TGGAATCAGGTAAAGAATAAAACCTCCAAGATTGAAAGTAAAAGTGGGTATCAAACCAAAGTGAAGTCTCAGTAATTCAGTGCAAATTCTGAGAATAACTGCACACGTGGGTATTAAAATGCTATGCAGATGGTATATCTCACATTTTATAGACAGGGAGGTTGGCCTTGAGACAACAGCTCTCCATTCATCTATTTCACAGAAAAGCAGTTGGTTCTATAGTCATGAAGTTGCAGGTGATGGAATCTATTGAGCTATGATTTCTTCCCTGAATGCAATTACAAAATTAAGTTTGGTAATCACCTTTTCCTCCTGTAAACTTCCTTGCTCTCAAACTAAACTTTTGCTCCCCTTTGGGAATTTCCTGGTCTATTTCTCTGAGATGTTTTTCCACTTTAGTGGTAGAGCCAACAAAGAACAAATATTCAGGGGCCACTTGGAAAAGCACTAGTTGTGGGTGGCCTAAATGAATCTCAACTACATATATATTTTTTAAAAATGTATGTGTATTGTATAGGTCAAAGGGAAATCAAGTCAAGAAATGCTTACTCAACTATCTTTACCTACTATAAAATAATTTATAGGCTTAAAATGTTTAACACAGACATTTTTTATTTTTGGTGTGTGTGTGGGATTCAGTGCTGACTTTGGACTCAGGGCTTTGTGCTTGCTAGGAAGGCACTCTATGGTTAGAGCCATGATCCCTTCTCCTCCCAATAACACTCTACTCTCATTGTATTTGAGATAAAGTCTTAGATTTTGCCTAGGCTGGCTTGGACTATAGTCTTTCTATTTATGCATTCTGGCAAGGCTGTGATGACAGATGTGTACCATCATACACACTTTTTCTGTTGATGGAGTCTTGAAGTGGCCTGCTGTGATCTTTAAAATCCTGTCTCTGGACCGCTTAAATTTAAAATTGGAATTCTATAATTATAGGAGTGAATTTCTCAAGTCCAGCTAAAACAAAATTAAAAAAAAAAAAAGACAAACTAAGCCAGGTACCAGTGGTTCATACCTGTAATCCTAGCTACTCAGGAGGCTGAGCTCTGAAGATCTCAGTATCAAACCAGGCCGAACAAAAAAGTTGGTTCATGAGATTACAATTAACTGCCAAAAAAGCCAGAAGTGGAGCTATGACTCAAGTGGTAGAGTGGTTATAGTCTTCAGTGAAAAAAGCTAAAGACAGCTCCAGGACCTGGGTTCAAGCCCCAGTACTGGCACAAAACCAAACAAACAAAAAAATAAATAAACAAACTATCTATGGAAATACAGTCTGCATTCTCTTAGATCTGCTCTCTCATCATTCCTCAATCACCTTCAGAAAGCCTAAAAGGTCATCAGATGCTGGTGACTCACATCTGTAATCCTAGCTACTCAAAAGCTGAGATCTGAAAGACTGGGGTTTGAATTCAGCCCATGTAGAAAAGTCTGTGAGATTCCATCTCCAAAATACCAGCAAAAAAAATCAGGCTGGAGACAGATCTCAAGTGGTACAACACTAGGCTGAGCAAGCAAGCCAAGTAAGTACAAGGCCCTGAAATCAAACCCCAGTACTGCCAAAAAATAAACAACAAAAAACCCTGAAAGGTGAAAATTATAACAAGCAGAAAAATAAGGACCAACCAAATGCCAGCAAAAATTATAAAACATTTTACTAACGTTTGAACATCAGGCCTTGTACTTGAGAAACCAATTAAGTTATATTCTTTATAGGACTTAACTGGATTCACCACTTAAGTTTCACCAAGGGCCCAGGATCTAGTAGGTAATAGGGACCATGATTATTTTTTCAGAAAGTATGCTCTCCTCCTTAAGTAACTGTACAGTTCTATGTCTATTCTTGGCATGCTTTATGTTTAATATTTGATTATTAAAGTTTACAAGAGTCAGGGCCAAGTCTTTTTCTGTTCATGTCAATATCTACTGTGCCAAACCTCAAGAAGATTGGGGATGGTAGAAATAGGTAGAGTTAGATTCAAGCTAAGGCCAGGGTTCATTCCTGGGGTCTAATTTTGATGATACTTACCCTAGAACTTTGTCACCTTAGGCAACCACAAAACTGAATTATCACTTTTATTGGCTCTGATACTCATATGTCAGTAGTTACAGCTTGATTTATCACTTATCATTAAGTATAAACAACTTACAACAATTTATAGCTAAGTAGAATACTTTTTAGTATAAGACCACAGTAAAACCAAAGGAATTTATTTGTGCTATTGAAGACTCATGGTGGGTTCAAAGCTCAAATCAGATATAACAACAAAGTCAAGAGCTGAGCACAACTGATTCACTCCTTTAAGCCTAGCTATTCAGGAGTCTGAGAACTCAGAATCATAGGTAAGGAGCCAGGCCCAGCAGACAAATCCAATTTTAATCTCCAATTAACCAGCAAAATCCAGGAGTGGAAATGTGGCCCAAGTGGTAGTGCACCAGCCATGAGCAGAAAACAGCTGAATGTGAGACCATGAGTTCAAGCTCTTGTACAGGCATAGAAAGAAAAGAATTACTATATTCTTCACTAAAAATCTTGTGTTTGGGTTGAGGTTGTGGCTCAGTGCTAGTGCTTGACCACCATGCTTAAGGCCTTGGGCTTAACCCCTAGCACTACAAAATAAAAGTTTTTTTTTTTTTTTTTTTAAAGAAAAACTCAAAACAAAATTAGCAAAAATATTGGTTCTTACTATTTTTTAATAAGTACATTTTAATATCTTTTATTTCAAAACAAAACAATCCAGCTTTCTGGGGGGAAAAAAGCAGCAGAAATTGGCATGCATTATACAACTGCAACAAGGAAAGACACAGGAGAGGCCCAGGTTCCAGACAGCCAGTTTAGTCTAAAACCTTTGGCAATTAACAGTGGTTCCTCTGTTTCTTCTTCCAAGATAATTATAAAGACCCACTCTTTAGCCAAAAGGGTTGTTCTTAACTTGCTACCTTGTAGCATTCCAAGTGCACTGCTGAGCAATTATAGTCCCAGCTATTAAGGAGGCTGAGGAAGGAGAATCACTTGAGTTAAGGCCAGACTGCACAACAGAATAAGACCCTGTCTCAACAATAGTGAACCTACCAACAGAAAAGAGAATTAGTAAAAACACTGCAGAAACAGTAAAGATTCTAGATAACATAAGGTACCAATTTCCCATATCTGAAACAACTTTAAAAAAATACTTAAAAGGATAGAGAAATCATCCCCTTCACTGTCTTAAAAGCTTATCAAATTATATGTTTACTTTGACAAAGTCAGCCACATGTGTACAAATAGGAGTTCTAAATATTTCAGTTCACTGAAAAAAAAAAAAAAACAATTAAGGCACAAGGACCTAAAGAATGAACACAAAGCTGGTCTACAGTATTGGAAAGTAATACAATTTAGGACCTAGTTTCTATTTTGTTTTACAGATAACTTAAATCCCCACAGGTCTCCCGAGATTTACTCAGATTGTTAGGGATCTTTTCATTCCATTATGACCTATAAAAACTTTCAAACCCTATTGGTATAATCTGATCCAAAAAAGTTTTCTGAGACTTTCATAAATGCCCTTCCTTTATTGCAAAACAAGTTAACTTTTAAATAAGAATACACAGATGGGTGTGCTTTCCCACCAGTTATCCCAGCACTTGAGATCATAAATTCAAAGTCAGCCTAAATGCCACAGTGAGACCATCTCCATAAACTAAAAACTGTAAAGCAATAAACAGGTCAGAATACTTATTATCAATGCAACAGACTCTTGGTGTTCCTGTTTGACTTCCAACAAACCTACCTTTCTGTGTATGATATGACCTGCAAAAGAATTCTTTTGCTGATTCCAGATATTCACAGGCAGCAGTTAAGGGATCAATTACAGGTCTTATCCAGTGTTCTTATTTACAAGATACAAAGTGATAGTGCTGTTTTATACAGTAAGACTGCCTTGCTGTACTGTTTCACTATATTTCATTTGAATAAGTAGAAAATGGAACAAATCAAACAATTATTTTATATACCAGTGGCTTCTAAATTTAAAACAACCAAGACAAGATTAGGAGGAGGAATGAGAAATCTATAGCCTCAATTGTTTTTTTACCAATCAACAAATGCAAACCAAAAAATTAAGCACTAATGTACAATAAAAGGTGCTACACAAGAGACATTTATTAATATTCTGTTGTATTTACAGTTTTAATATAGCAAACCAAGGTAAATTACCACTTGGGCAGAAAGCACATCATTCTACATTTATAACAAATAGGTTTCTGCTAACACATTGTAAAAGCAAGTAGTACAGTATGTTAGGGATCATCTCAAAAGTTCCAAGCTAATTCTTTCTTTATTCCTAGTAACTAATCCACTGAGATTCTAATCATACATAGGTCCAGAATTACATTTTAATAATTAAACTGCATTTATCTTTGTTCTTTCTATTTTATACTGTGACAACACTTTAAAATTCCTTAGGTACATATCACAGAACAAACAGGTACTGCAAAGTTTTGAATACAGACTACAAAAAAAAGAATGCTTATTTACCAATTAAGAACATTTTTTTAAAATCACACCTTAATGTATTTTGCACTATGATTTTGCCTTCAGGTGTTTACACACAGTACAACTGAATGAATTACTAGATTAACTTTAACAGTAAATATGGATTATGTGCAGAAATGCAGTCATAACCAAAGTCTTAACTTTTGAGAAAACCCCTTTAAAACAATCAGCCTTATACATATCTTACACTAAAATCTTTAATTCCAAATTCAGTTTGAAATGGAAAATGAAAAAAGCAAGATTGCCCCCTACTGACTACAGGGACATGGCTCATGCTACTTAAAATGACTACAAATAATATATAAGGCATTATTAATACATCACAGACTTGATTGCAAGAGCTTTTTCAAACATTAACCACTAATGATTCAATGATTACAGAATTCTGCATTAACTATTAAAATTTTACACCTAGGAACAAATAAAGAGAAATGATCTTTTTCAACAGTACTTTATTTTTTAAAGCAGGTGATTATTCCTCTGTGTTCTGCATCTTGATTCACTTCCTGCAGGTGTTCTCTTGCTTCTTGAGAGGGAATTCATAAACGCAGGAAGGCCCTTGCCAGAAAACATCTGCCAGAAAAGGATATTGAGTAGTGAAATTCTAGTTAGCTTGTTATTTTGGCTAAGAGAAGGATGTAGTCACAAAAGAAGACAGGATGTTTGGAGATATGAGAAGTGCATTTTAACATAGTTTTAAGATTACTATACACTGACCTCATAGTACTGAATAAACATTCCATTTTCAGTTCTTAACATTATCGAGGCCTCCAGAAATAGAAAGAATGGGTATGCTTGCTCTAAAATCCCATGAGGTCAGAAGTTTTATTCTGTTAGCTCTTCTAACAAAAGAATGGAAGTAGTCATTCTTCACCCTACACTTAACCCTGTAAACTTGGACAGAACTCAAGTGCACAGGTAATTTTCCAAATATACCTGATGCTACTATTTACCAACCACTGTTTACCAACCAGACAAGACATCCGGTGGAAGCAAATGAACTCATGCTATACTTAACAGATCATAGCAAATATTTAAAAAAAGACTAAGCTCAGAGATTTCACAAATATATACATTTTTAGAACAATTTTTCTTTAAAATCTGTACCAATGTACCAAGTACCAATGTACTTGGAGGGCATGTTTCTCTGAAAATAACAAATATATTTAACTCCTAATTTTAATATGCATGACTGAAGTACATAGTCTCAAAATAATGTCCTTACTTCTCCCCACAGTGCCTGTAATTGAATCAGGGTCTCTAAAGACCAAGGCAGTTCCCTACACTATACATACTTCATTAGTTCTCAAAGAAATAACTTGGAAAAATTACAAGTAAATCCCTACCATAATACTAGAAAGAAACCTACATTAACTACTTCATTGAGAAACTACTTTGTAGTTCCTAGCTCCGAATAACAATAGCATGGACTCAGTTCTATACAGTTTTTTTTTTTTCGGTCGGTCGTGGGGCTTGAACTCTGGGCCTGGGCGTTGTCCCTCAGCTCTTCAGCTCAAGGCGAGCGCTCTACCACTTGAGCTACAGCGCCACTTCCGGTTTTCTGGTGGTTTATTGGAGATAGGAGTCTCACGGTCTCTCCTGCCCGGGCTGGCTTTGAACCGCGATCCTCAGATCTCAGCCTCCTGAGTAGCTAGGATTACAGGCGTGAGCCACCAGCGCCCGGCTCTTAGCTCACTTTTTTATCTCTGCAAATTACTGTAACCAAGAAACTTTTTGTTGTTGTTGTTGGTTGTAGGGCTTGAACTCAGGGCCTGGGCACTGTCCCTGAGCTCTTTTGCTCAATGATAGCACTCTACCACTTTGAACCACAGTACCACTTCCGGTTTTCTGATAGTTAACTGGAGATAAGAGTCTAGTCAGAGTCTAAAAGACTTTCTTGCCCACACTGGCTTTGAACTGTGATCCTCAGATCTCAGCCTCCTGACTAGATAGGATTATAGGTGTGAGCCATCAGCACCCAGCTTCTCTCTTTTGATAGAATACTGCATACATTTTTATTTTTTTAATTTTAATTTTATTTTTTTATTCTGGTTATGGAGCCTGAACTCTGGGCTTGGGTGCTGTCGCTCAGCTCTTCAGATCAAGGCAAGAGCTCTACCACTTGAGCCACGGTGCCACTTCTGGCTTTTTCTGCTTATGTGGTGCTGAGGAATCGAACCCAGGGCCTCATGCATGCAAGGCAAGCACTCTACCACTGAGCCACCTTCCCAGACCAAGCATACATTTTTAAAAGGCTGTCAAAATGCAGAGAAGCTATAATACTGGAGAAAATTAATGAAAAAACAGTCCAACATTTTTCTGAATTACAAATTCAGGGTGTTTGGTAAATCAGTGTTACTGATACAAGAGTAACTTTTTGGGCAGAAATATGAGACAGGCTTATTAAAAGCTGTAAAAACAAACAAAAAGAAAATCTATATACTATTATCAGATGGAGGTTTCTGAAATGAATCCTAACAAACCCAAGCTATTTATTTCTACAGTTTCCACCAGTAGAAGAAAACAGATGCAACAATGGCTAGAATTTGTAAGAACATGTACAAGAGCGTAGACAGCCTCCCTCATTCCTTGCTTCTTCATCAACAGTTCTAAAGATCCTCCAAGTCAAGCTTGCCACTAATAGTCATTCCAAATCCCCTAAGAGGATACCCAGGTTACCAAGGGTAAAATCTCAATCATCACACAGACACAAACTCCAGATGAAAGTCGGCTAGAGAGGTGCTGCTGTATAAAGCCTGGGTGCCATTCAGAGCCGCTTGACTAAAGTGTCACAAAGACACCAGCATCCAAAAGCTACAAGGCAAATAGAACTTAGGGACTGTGGATACCTTTCTTAAACTGAATTTTTTTTTTAAAGAAAAAAGTCCACTGGAAATACCATTTCTACTGTCTTGCTATCTTACAACACAGTCTACTAAATCAAACTTTATCTTCAGGATGTCTTCCTTTAGTAAAAATAGGTGTACTAGGATATAGGATCATATTTCAATGATAAAGACTCCTAGCTTATTAATGCCAGAGACTAAAACTGTTTTCCAAGGAGGTGATCATAGTGGAGTACACCTGAAGCAGGAGGATCTCTAGCTCAATGTCAACCTGAGTTATACTACAACAGAATAATTTTTTTAAGTAAATCTTTTCCTTTTATTTCAGATATGGTGAAATACATTTTGCTTCATGTCTATAAGAGTTTTTGGTACAATGCAAGTAGTGTTACAATCAACCATGTCGCACCTCACAGGTACTGACACTAACCTCTCATTTATCTCACAGATAAGGGAAGGCAGCAATCCTAAGAACTTTTTTCCTGAGTAAAGAAGAAAAAGTTTCAATACTTGTCAGGTTTTTTTATTGTTGTTGTTGTTTGGAGCCAGTCTTGGGGCTTGAACTCAGGGATTGGGTGCTGTCCCTGAGTTTTGTTTTTGTTTTTTTTTTTGCTCAAGGCTAGTACTCTATCACTTGAGCCACAGCTCTACTTCTGGCTTTTTGGTTAAAAAAAAAAATTCCCTGTCTATGATCTTTCTGGCAACAAGTCAGCTTATGGTTAGGCTGTCACTAGGGCTATCACTATCAAAGAAAGTAGGAGTCAACAGAAGAAAAGAAAGCCCTCACATGTCATCTGATGGTGTCTAGCCCCTTCTCTAACTGAACTAAACTAAATTTCTTGGAACTATAGAAACAAATTTTCTACATTTGGATTTAGATGGAGAGGTCTTATCCCTTTCAACTGAGGAGGGACCCTCAATCCTATGGATATTATATCAGGTTCCCTCTGGGGATCTCTGGAGAATGAGTAAGAAAGCCATTGGAATTGTAAATACTGCCTTAAGCCCCCAAGTCTCTTAATTCTGGAGCTCCAAATCCCCTCTGGGCATATCAGGAATGGTTCCAAATCAAGCAGGGTATTGACTCAAGCAGGAAAGCAAATAAATGCTATTATGCTGTCCAATGAGGGCTATGCATTTACCTGTACACATGTTTTTCTCAACACCTAAAGGATCCAGCATTAGTGTACCAAGCTCCTAACTTCCTTCCACAGAACTGTTACTAAGGGCTGCTGGCTTCAAATCATAGTTCTATAGATGCATTGTTTTAAATTTACAACACTCATATAAACATTTAAAAGACCCTCAGGCTTTCTCCTCACCTGACCACTATTTGTACGCATTAGAAGCACATAGTAAAGGTAGGCAATCCCCTCCTAACTTAATAATGAAGAGAACAGACAAAAGGATATTCTTAGTTCATTGAGAAGTTCAGAGCTACCATTTACTACCCATACAGAGTAACAATAAAAAATAAGTTCCTGCATGATATTTTGAGCAGCACCAATGCTAAAGGAATCTGTAGGTGACTTAAGAAGTGAAAAGAGGACTCACAGTAACCTCAAAGAATAACTTTTGCTAAGAGTGAAACCTAGGGCTAACCACCTGAGTATAATCAGATATGCAGAAGAAAAAAAGACAAGAACTGAATAAAACTACACAGATTATTTGTAAGACCCTCAAAATTAGGATGTCTCAGACACAAAGACACAGAGCAGGACTTAGGGTCCATGCCAGGGGGTGGTGTATATTGTATCCAGACCTCGTGACTGAGTTCAAATTCATGACATGCCACATATTTTTAAACATGTTAGCTCCCCCCTTTAAAAAAAAGTCAGAGGCAGAAGCCAGTGGCTCATGCCTGTAATCCTAGTTACTCAAGAGGCTGAGGATCTGAGGATCGAAGTTCAAAGCCAGCCCGGGCAGGAAAGTTGGTGAGACTCTTATCTCTTTCTCTGGTGAGAAAACCAGAAGTGGCGCTGTGGCTCAAATAGTAGAGTTCAAGCCCCATGACCGACCAAAAAAAAAAAAAAAAAAAAAAAAGTAGTAAGTGTAAAATACATATTCTCTTCAAGAAATTTACTTTAATACAAGCTTGAGCTACCTTTTAATTAGTTAAGTAATCTAATTAAACACATAAAATATTTAACACAATATCTGACACATGGGAAACTCTTAGTGTTATCTTTGTTATATCCTGCTTGAAAAAAATCTTTTGTTGAATTTAAGGTGTCATCATGTTAGTTTGTTGCTTAAAAGTTTTCAATACTTGTTCCATTACCTGGCAAATTAAGTATGTTTTATTTTCTTGAATCATATCTCTTGAGGCCACCAGTCTTCACACTTGAGAACTCGACTCAATATATATTACCTATACAAAGCATGATGCCTAACAGTAAATACAGAAGTTCACATGGGCTTAGCTGCCTTGAGCCAGCATATCACTGGGATAAAGGCAGCTTCATAAGCTTGATGGCTAAGCTTAGCCTGCAAGCAGGCTAAGCAGTACTCATTTAAGAACAAATTCCACCTGGCTTTCAGGCCTTGATCTTCCAAATTCTTTATGTTCCTAAGCCCTCCCCAAGGCCCTTGTACTTCCCTGTCCCTATTTCTGCTCTTCATCTGGCCTCCAATTTCTCCCCACAAACCCATCCAGAAATCTACTAGTTAAAATTCTTTTTTTCCTCCTCTAGTAGTGGGGCTTGGGCTTAGGGCCTGCTCAAAACAATTCCATCTCTTAAGGTTTGTCACAAATGCTGTGTAACTGCATTACAAAGCCTTCCCTGGGGTTCTGCTGGACTGGTCTCTTAAGTGTTCGAGGCTCCACTCCATCACTCACATAGCTCCCCAAAAACATAGGAAGCAAAGAACGAAGTCTGAAAAGACCTAGTTTGTCTTGCCAAAGAGGTCTCTGGTGTATTCTCTCTTCCCCAAGGCCCTCTACTCTTCCTTTACTGGTTGTGGATTGATGTTAAGCTAGAGTTGATCTCTAGGGAAAGCTATGTGTGAATCAAATAACCTTGGCAGAGTTTATATTTCCTGTTTCAGGTAAGAAAGTTCCTTTCTCCCCTTCCTTCCCTTGGATTTGACCTCCCTCACCATCAGAATGACTATCTGGGTATAAACATGAAGAAAGGTGCCAAGAAAGGCACAACAATTAATTTTAAGAGATAAAGACCTTGGTGGGCTTATCAGTAGCCCAAGCAAAAGGAATTCTTCATCTCTTCTCACTGCAGAGGGGGGGTTAGGGAGTTCTAAATGAGAGAAGAGTACTTGGGCCTGGAGGGTTCCTTCTGAATGTTGTCATCTGGAAATGTTATTACCATGAACATTGTTAAAGGTGCAAGATTTAATCAAGCAATCAATGTACTAGACCTTCTGATGACTACTAAGACCCTTGCTTCTCCCTCACTGTAAAACATAAAATAGTTTGCCTTTACAAACTAGCTTTTGTAATTCCCTCCCCTTACTAAACTAAAAACTGCAAAAAAGGCAGAAGCTGTGTCTTTCTTATCTTCCCTGGGTGCCTTACCACAGATCCTTACTCAAAAACTGAATGGATAACAAAGGAGGAGGCAACAATGCTTGATAAGAAATGTACTCATTACCTTGCCCATGCAATTGTAACCCCTCTATATGGTATTTTCACAATTAAAAAGAAAAAACTGAATGGAAATCTGCAGTGTATCACATGAGCAAACTGGGAACAGAACTTTTTTTTTTTTTTTTTAATACCTTTAATAAATAAAGAGAACTCTGGTCCTGGGGAGATTTGAGAAAGTTTCTGGCATCTTCCGAACTTTTGCATAATTGATAAATCCTCTGAGAAACAGGAGAAAACCTAATAAAAAAAATCGAGAATGAATTTATGATTTCCATGTTAAGTCCCTTCCCCAGAAATATCCCTTCTGACAGAAATACTTTTACATTTTTCTGCTACAGGCTATTAAAATATGAACAATTTCCTCCAGAATCTCCAAGGGATCTTTGTATTAAACTATCCATTACTCAATGAGATAGCATAATCTCAAGAGCCAAATGTCCTTTTTTTGCTTATTAAAAATCAAATCTGTCTGAAAATGAAGTAAAAATTAAATGAGGACAAATGTTCACCTTTGGAGGCCTTATCAAGTCCAAAAGCACTTCAATTAATTACACAAAGAGGCCAAATTAACAACCATGGTTTTCTTAAAAAAGAAAGAAAAAAATCTAACTTTCTTGTGAGATTTCTTCTTCTGCCAACAGTACATAATGTTGTCCACTAGATGTCAGCACCCCTTTATCTATTATAGCAAGTGTTACGCTCTCTTTCAATTAAAACTGATTTTAACTGTACAGTTTGCACCTTGTCAAAACAGTCCAAAGGGTAGTGATGTTCCCCTCCAATGCAAACTCACACTGACCCTCCTCCTTCAGAGATGGACTCAGAGTCTTAACTGTTTTTTTTTGTTGTTGTTGTTTTGTTTTGGTCATGGGGCTTGAACTCTGGGCCTGGGTGCTGTCCCTCAGCTCTTCAGCTCAAGGCTAGCACTCTACCACTTGTGCCACTGTGCCACTTCAGGGTTTCTGATGGTTTATTGGAGCTAAAAGTCTCAGACTTTTCTTGCCTAGGCTGGCTTTGAACCATGATCCATAGATCTCAGCCTTCTGAGTAGCTAGGATTACAGGCGTGAGCCACTGGCACCTGGCAATCTTATCAGATTTTAAACACTATGTACAATAAATGAATATTTTTATAGCTTGTATAGCTACAAATAATCACAATAACTCCTCGAAAAACCTGTACTCCTCAACAGTCAACTCCACCCACCTGCTCCCTCCTTTCTTTTCCAAGCCCTAGGCACTTCTGGACACTTTTTACAATATACTCAGGGTGAAAAACTCTCTTTACCCAAATAGGAGAAAGGATTGGGGGAAATAACCAAGAGTCATGGTGCCAAGCTCATTTAACACCATTCTGTTTTGCACCAAAAACACAAAATTGTACAACCCCTTCAAACAATGTGGTTAGAGGAAGCCTTCTGAAATGGAGAGCACATGGAATCAGCTACAAGCTAGCTCAGCTCAGGCCAATTTTGCTATGAATTTCAATTTATAAAAGAAGTTCAATGCATTCACTTTTTAAGTAATCTATGCCACAAACAATCGGAAAATATACTTACTGTCTCTTTTTTGGCTTATTTAGTTTGGTTTAACTTCAGGCTTTTTTCTTTTTTTGCCAGTCCTGGAACTTGAACTCAGGGCCTGGGCACTGTCCCTGGCTAGCATTACCACTTAAGCTGCAGTGCCACTTCTGGTTTTTTCTGTTTATATGGTACTAAGGAATCGAACCCAGGGCTTTATCCATGCTAGGCAAGCACTATACCACATTCCCAGCCCCTCTACGTTTTACTTTTTCCTGGAGGTGCTGAGAATCTAACCTAGTACCTTAAGCATGCTAGAAAAGTGTTCTGCCTCAGCGATAACCGTGAACCCGACTTTCTCTTAGATTATATCATAAAAAATAAACAAGCCAAGGATTTATCCTCCCTAAATAACTCATCAGTACTTTTTATTACTATACTTCTGAATAATCAAAGCAAGGAATATAATTACTTTCTCTTTCTCAAATGACATTTCAACCAACAGTAGAATGGATGATGCTGTTGGGGGAGGAGGGTAGAAATGATGTGACGAATGACTTATACTTCTAAGTCAAATCTAGGATCAGAAACACATAGCTCTGTCAGCTGAGCAAGGCAGGTCCTGACTGTAATGAGCCCCTGCTGGGCATAGGTATTGGCTGGGCCAGCCAGACGCCTTAGCAGCAGTATCACCACCTTAATAAAGGAAGCAACCAAAAAGTTCAGAGCAATGTCACAGACGCACAGTGAGGCAATCATATAAGAGCTATACGGTAGCCTTGCTATTACTTTGTAGAATTATGGCAATGATACTGACCTCTTATTTCATATATCTTTTCTTTATAAATAGTGAAGAGGCCCCATTAAAAATTTTATTCCATTGTACAGAGAGTAAAATTTAAGATAAAAAAATCTGAAAACTTGAAAAGTAGAGAAAAAGAGAGGAGAGACAGACAGACACAGAGACAGAGACAGAGAAAAAGAGAGAGAGAGAGAGAGAGAGAGAGAGAGAGAGAGTGTTTTGTTTTGTAAAGCCTCTCCCGCTATAAAACACTTCTTACTCTCTGGGCTGGACTGAGGAGAAACAGACAGACACAGAGACAGAGACAGAGAAAAAGAGAGAGAGAGAGAGAGTTTTGTAAAGCCTCTCCTGCTTTAAAACACTTCTGGGCTGGACTGAGAGGTGGAGTGCTTGCCTAGTTGTGTACTAGCTTCTGAGTTTGATCTCCAAGCTGAAAAAACAAGCCGTGCACAAAATATAATTCTTATTCTTTCAAAGAATCCCAAAACTAAACTGGTTTAGACATAACTTGAAGTTAAATCTAACAAAATTTTTACGTTTTCTGTTACCCGCTGACAGATCTAACCAGACATGATGAGTTATATACTCAGGAGCTACTTCAATTGTTCGTAATATGTCAAGCAATCTAAGGCTGAGTTTGTGAAACCTTTAGGGTGGCAATAACTCACAAAAGGAAAAACATCAACAGACTGGTCATTTTACCAGTATGCCCCATTGATCACAATGGAGATATATATGTGTAAGTGGGTTGTTACTCTAATAGTGACAATACCTTACTCTTCAGGAAAAAAAACATTTTAAAAATTATACTGGGGTTTGAACCCAGGGCTTTGTACTTACTAGGTAGGTATTCTACCTCTTGAGCCATATCCCTAGCTCCAAAAATTATACTTTTAATTGATAACTATATTAAGTAACATACAAATATACTGTAATTTTAGTTGTATCAAATTTAATAAAACCACTTCTCTCCTTTTCTTATGTTAAAAGCACTTACCTAAAACCAAGAACACCCACCAGAGCCAGTACTGACCATCAAAGTATCCAGGGAAATAGGTCGAAAACTGAAAACAAGGCAAATACTTTTAGCAGCTTAACAAACATAAATTCACATATTAACTTTAAGGACTCATGTTGTTATACCATTACTGTATTTGTGTCTTACAAAGGTCTTAAATATACAAGTATTGTGAAAGTTATGACAAATATAAATCTATTTCTTTTCATAGAAAGACAATTTTTAATTATGAATAGTTATGAATTCTTGGTTCTGAAAATATACAAGTAGTTTTCTTTTTTTCCTTCTGCAGTCCTAGGGATCAAACCCAAGGCCTTGAGCATGCTGGGCAGACAATTTACCACGAGCTACATCCCTAGGCCCCTTTTTTATTTTGACCACATAGTATTTGCTCTTCTAAAAATATGTGCAAGTAATAGTTTTACTTTGCTTATTCAGTGCAACTGAATAAGACAACTATTTGGCTGATACCACTGACTCCTTTCTAATAAGGCCCCATTTGTTCATGGCCTGACCTGGAAACTTTATCATGTACATCATTGTAATCCCATGCCTCACTGTAATCCCATGCCAGTAACTGGGTTAGGAATGCGTACAAGGTGTCATTCTACCAATTTGAATTAAGGTTTCTAGAAACACTTCTTTGCTCTTAAAGAAAAAAAGGAAGAGGCTGGGCGCCAGTGGCTCAAGCCTGTAATCCTAGTTACTCAGGAGGCTGAGATCTAAGGATCACGGTTCAAAGCCAGCCCAGGCAGGAAAGTCCGTGAGAATCTTATCTCCAATAAACCACCAGAAAACAGGAAGTGGCGCTGTAGCTCAAGTAGTAGAGCACTAGCCTTGAGAGCTGAGGGACAGCGCTCAGGCCCAGAGTTCAAGCCCCACGACCAACACCCCCCCCCCCAAAAAAAAAAAAAAAGAAAAGAAAAGAAAAATAGAAAAAAGGAAGGGGAATACAGATGGCACTGGGCAGAATTTTAACTTTACAATGGTATAAAAGCAATACGCATTTTTCAGGAACTATTCCTGGAATTTTGACCTTTTCTCAAGATAGTGGCATGTGGTATGATGTTCTCTCAGGATGCTGGGTGATAGTGAGCCACAGCATGTAGTCAGTGATACAAATGCAGAGGAAACAACTTGTATGCTCAGTGAACTTGGTACTAGCTATGATGCTAAGTGGGTAAAATGGACCAACGCAATATTTCAGCTTACAATACATTTATTAAGCCCTGACCCCATTGTATAAATCAAGAAGCTTCTGTAGTTTTCACTTTTCTATGGAGTGCTGTTGTGTTTCAGTGTGATACTTGAAAACACCATCTTTTAACCCCAAGGGAACCGGAATTAAGAGCAAATTACTGAAAAGTCAGCTGTCTCTGATGATGCTGAAAATTTAGTTAACCTCTGTGTCAGCACTTGTTCTCATGAGAGATACAGACTTTCCCTCCACTGTTTCTCTGATTTTCTAAGCCATTAGGAACTTACGTTATTGTTACATTCAAAAGTGTTTCCTGCCAGGTGCCAGTGGCTTATGCTTATAATCCTAGCTATTCAGGAGGCTGAGATCTGAGGATCATGGTTCAAAGCCAAAAAACCACATAGTGATCCTCACCTACCACAGAAGTTATGGTCCAGAGATCCCTACGATAGCTGAAAATCCACAAAGTAGCAATAAGTGAACTGAGATACAGTGAGGGATGAATGTATAATGCTACTACTTCCTGTATTTTCACCGTTCGTGGGGGTCTCTGGAACATAGCTACCTAGACAGGTGAAGGATCACTGTAGACCAATACTCACTAGCTTTGACTACAAACCTTGTGGTCAGGAATCATTTGAAAATCATTTGGGTTCAATTTCATCATGAAACCAGAACAAAAACAAAGTATTATTTTAAATGTTAGGATAACTCAATGCCAATAAAAAGTCAAATATTCAATATAAATTTATCACTGTCTTTTCACAATTTACTTTTTCCATCATACCACTTACCCTGACAATCAGGATCCACTTAATTAGAGAGAGACCAAATCCTGAGATGGCCCCATACCTTCCTGCAGCTGAGGTGGTCAGGCAAAAAGACAGGAAAAAGCCAATCCAGTTGAAGAGGAATGCCACTAGAAAAGCAGATGGGAAAATGAGGTCCCTAGTCAAAGAACAATGCCTCTGCTTAAAACCCTTTCACCAGGATAAAAGATAGCCAGCCCTTTACAACCCTCCCTGTTCCTCTCCCAAGAGCCCTCCTCCCTAAAAGCAAAAATATCCTCTGTTAAAATCAAGTTTTTCATTATTACATGCACTTCTATTTATTGTTGAAAGTGCCTCATTGCTCAACAAACTGTATACATATGACTTGTACTATTTGGTGTTACATATTTCAGTAGATAATGACTTGGGAGCCAGGTGTTTTATGCCTGTAATCCTAGTCAGTCAGAGCAGAAAAAGCCCCGTGAGACTCGTCTCCAATTAACAACACAAAAACCAGGAGTGGCACTGTGGTGCAAGTGGTAGAGCGCCAGCCTTGAGCACAAAGAAGCTCAGGGACAGCATCCAGGTCCTGAGTACAAGCCCTACAACTGATAAAATAATAATCATAATTATAATAATGATAATAATAATAAATGACTTGGGACACTGAACTTAAAAAAGACCAGACATTCTAAAAATATTGATTCAAGTTACTTATCCTCCTGTGCTCTGTGAACTGACAATTTACATAACATCATCTCTATAAGTACCATATTTTCTTTATAGATTTTAGTCATTGGTGGTTATTTATTTGGTGATTCTAGGGTTTGAAGTTAGGAGCACTTGAACCATATCCCTAATCCTTTTTGCTTCAGTCTGTTTTTCAGACAGGGTCTTCTCTAAGCTGGCTGGACCTTAATCTTCCTGTCTCTACCTCCCAAGTAGCTGGGATTACAGGTATGAGTCCCATACTTGGCCCCTTTCCTTGATGTTTCAATACAGCACATAGCTGGCCACTTTTTTTGGGAGGGTCAGTCATGGCACTTGGACTCAGGGCCTGGGCGCTATCACTGAGTTTTTTTATTTAGCTCAAGGCTAGCACTCTACCACTTTGAGCCACAGCACCACTTCTGATTTTCTGATGGTTCATTGGCAATAAGAGTCTTACAGCCTTTCTTTCCAGGACTGGTTTCAAACTGCGATCCTCAGCTCTCAGCTAGGATAACAGGTGTGGGCCACCTGGCTAGCTGCTTACCTCTAAGTGAGGTACATAAAAGATAATAGGGTCAAACATCAGAGAGGAAAAACCTGGCTGACTCTGAGCTGTCAGAAAACAGAAACTTGCAGAACAAAATTTATCAGACAAGGGCAATTCAACCCTGTGTACTTGAGTATGAGGAGGAATCATGCCAAGGACTTCTGGAGATCTGGAAGATGAGGTTTAGCTCATGTACAAATGCAGCATTCTTACGATTATTTTAATTGTACTTTCCATATACTAATCCAAAGCACTCACATTGGTACGGAGCAAGATTGGTACGGAGCAACTCTGCTCTGTGTATATATATACTTACTGAAAAAAGTTAACATGAAAATCCCATCATTTCCTATCCTCAGCTGGTCGGCATCATCAAAATCATCCCGACCCACAAAATCTTCATCCTAAAAGAAAACAGTAAGTTAATTCTTAATGACTTTTGGGCAAAGAACTGATACAAAGAGAAATAAAATAAGGAACAAATAGAAGAAAATTTATTGCTATGGCTCAATTTAAAACTCTGAGCATCAAAGGTTCAAAAAATATGTTTAAAAATTTCATTCTGCATTGTAAATAAAAGATATAAGATCATAAATAATTTTTTCCATAGTCTTCTAAATGAAATTTTTATTTGATAACCCATATTCATGTCTGTCTGTCTGTCTGTCTGTCTGCTGCCTGCCTGCCTGCCTGCTGCTTGCCTGCCTACCTACCTACCTACTTACTTATTTTTGGTGCCGGGATTAAATCCAGCATCTTGCACATACTAATTAAGCATAAGCTCTATCATTGAACTATGATATTAATGAAAAAAAATAGCATAGAAAATACAGCTGAAACTCTAGAATGTAATCCAGGGCCTACCTATTGAGACAGAGTCAACTGGCTCACACATACAGAAAGGACAACATGACTACATATCAATAATCTACACTGCTCAGATCTGGAAGCATTTGTTTGTATTGGTAACAGTCTGAAATACACCCACCTCCCATTCTAACTTGAAAACCAAACACTGAAGATATAAAAATAGAAGGAATATGACACAACATTTGTGAACATGCTTTTCAATATGCGTATTCACATATTTAACAGTAACTAAATATAATGTGAGAAGTGAAGAAGATTTCTGAAAGGAAAACAAAATTGGGCGCAACCAAAACTTGTTCTACACAGAAAAAGTGCTGAGAAAATTCATACCAAACTGTTTCCAGGGCTTCCCTTAAAGAGTGGGAACTACACAAAGGGTAAGTGGGACTGACAGCTCCCTTTTCTAACTTTAAACACCCCCTCCACTATTTCAAATTTTTATAAGAATGCATTTGTTTTATAGTTATTTCTTTAAATATTAAATGTCTAGTATTCTGATTCAATATTAGTTGAAGGTTTCAACAAATCAGAAAAATATTCTGCTTTTAACATAACTACTCCAAAGATATATTGCAAAAAAATGTATGCAAGTAACTTCTAGTAATACTTAAAAATGCCTTTGAGCTATTCTTCCCATCCTTGGTATCTATCACAATTACTCCTGTAAGTTTTGCTAGGTTAATGCCATTAGTCCCTTCATATTCCTGGTCAAACCTCTATTTCTTTTTGGTGGTACTGGTGACTGAACTCAGGGAATGGCAAGCACTCTGCCACTTCAGCTACACCTGCAGTCTTGTTTTGCTTGTAGTTTCTTGTTCATATAGGGTCTCCTACTTTGCCCAGGGTGGCCTCAGACTGTGATCTTTCTACCTCTACCTCTGAGTACCTGGTCTTACAATGAGTACTACTAAGACCAACATGCTTATGAGATAAGATTTTGCTAACTTTATGTCTGGGCTGACCTCAAACCTTGATACTATCTCCATCTCCAAGAGCTAGAATTACAAGCACACACACTATAACCAGAGCTTGCTGCTCAAAACCAGCAAAGGACTACACAAACCATATCCTATATACTAAATTTCATTGTCTCCACCTAGCATTTCAGGGATTCTACAAATAACCGTTTTGATCATATCTCCTTTAACAAACTCCTTGCACTCAAATAAAACCAATGACTACATTCATAGAACTGAATTGACTTGTACTTGAATTTCTATCTGCTAAGGCTTTTGTCTTCTGCAATGTTCTTATCCAACAAAACTCCAAGTCTAGGCTAGAGGCATGGCTTAAGAAACAGAATCTCTGAGCTCAACCCCAGTACCACCAAGAACAAACAACAATAATAAAGAAAAACAATAATATCAAGACCTCCAGGCCCAATACAAGTCCCATTTCCCACCATGTAAAAAACATAAAAGCTTGTGATCTATCCACTTAAGTTAGCAACTTCATGTGGCTGAATAGCTGGGTCTGTATAACAACTGGTATCAGGCTGCATATCTGATTTTGCAACTTGGATTTTCCACTCGATATAAACATCACCATACAGCCATATTACTCAAACATTTTTAATGGCTGCTTATTGTATTTTGTATAGTTGAAGCATACTCTATTTTTTACTAATCCCCTATCATTATTAGAAGCTTTATGATGCTTCTATATGTTGCTATAATCAATATCTTTGTGTAAAATTGTGTATTTCTCTCATTAAGATGAATTACTAGGATTGGAATGGCCCCATCAAAGGACATTTATGTTTTATTAATGTTTAAAATTTTTGCAAAGTTGCCTTTCTAATATCCACAAAAGAAACTTACAGTTCTTGATGTCACTGCTCTTGTGTAACAGAGATAAAAAGCACTGATGGCCCTTTCGCTCTGGCTGTATGCTAAATTCTGTATAACGATTTATGCTTTATATGCAAATGTACTATATGAGTATGCTGAATAATAGAATCCTAAGAAGCTCCTAAATATGTACATTAGTCAAATAAAAGAATTCTGAAGAGTTCTGTGTTTAGCCTAATCAAATCTCCTACTAGCTCATTTGCCACATATCTAACAAGTCTGCAAAGCACAGTGAAATAAACATATAAGGATGGACTTTGGAGTCTAGATTATCAGGGTTGACCCTTAGTTCTGCTACTTATTAGCCAAGTGACATTTGACAAATTGCTTCATCTTATTGGATCTATAAATATTTACACCGTAAAATGGAGGTAATACTGTGCGGATTGGAAACGTACAAAATATAGCTAACAATTAAGCACAGTGCTAAATGTCTTAAAGGCTCTCAATATGACTCCCTTAACCTTAGACAACAAGCTCCATGAAGATTCTTAGTTTGTCCTTGATATTGACACCCATGGGGTCGGCCTAGATTGGGCAGATAAACTATTTCTACCAGGCAGGGATGTTAGGCATTTTATTCCTGTAGTTAGTGCAGTCTACAAACAGTTTACTATGATAAAATTTGAGGAATCTCTAGGGCCTATGCCATGAACTGCATGGTCTCTTGTTGATTTGTTTCGTGGGTGTTTTTTTTTTTTTTTGGTGCCAGTCCTGGGGCTTGAACTCAGGGCCTGGTACTGTCTCTTATTCTTAGCTTTTTCGTTCAAGTTTAGTACTCTACCACTTGAACCACAGCCTCCAGTTCTGGCTTTTTTGCTGGTTAACTGGAAATAAGAGTCTCATGGACTTTCTGCCTGGGCTTCTAATCATGATCTGCAGATCTCAGCCTCCTAAATAGCTAAGATTATAGGCATGAGCCATTGGTACCTAGCCTAGTCTCATTTTTATCACTCACTTCATTTCCTGCCAGGACTACAACAAAAAGCTTTAACTGCTCTACATTCGTACCGACTGCACCCTGCATGTATTCTCTTCTCAAGATCTTCCAAGGTGCTACTTACATCAATCTTAACCTGGGTGAATATTTTTTAAATCAAATCTATTACTAACATCAAAAGCCAAGAGTTCTCTAAAATTTGTGGTTTACTTACACATTCCCAGCCCAACAAATCAACAGAAAGCTGGATAGGATCTGAACTTACTATGCTAGAAGGGCTCATCTAGATCACTATTGAGGTCTCTTGTGTAAGTTTCATTCTAGGAAGTCACATATAACACCAAGATATGATGTGTACAGAATGAAGACAAGGTCACTGTGTTTCCTAAATCAGCTACTGCTCCAAGATGTTTCAACCATCCCAAGACTTAAGAAAGTGGCTATAACCAGGTACCAGAGGCTCATGCCTATAACCCTAGCTATTCTGGAGGCTGAGGATCACAGTTTGAAGCCAGTCTGGGTAAGGAAACTTAGTGAGGCTCTTATCTTTAATAAAGTACCAAAAATCTGGAAGTACACTGTGGCAAGTAGTAGCCTTGGACAAAAAGCTTAAGGATAGCACCCAAACCCTGAATTCAAACCCTAGAACTGGCACACATACAAAAAAAAAGTGGTGGTAGTAGTTGCAAAAGTATAGGGAAAACAAGCAGGCTCCTCTAGGGATTTTCTGTTCACTTTATAACTCTTTCTCTCTTCATTTTCGGGGGAGGAAGGATGTTTATTTCACAAAAGAAAATGTATTTGTTTAAAATGAGCTATACTTTTACTAATCAATACAGACGTAGGTAATAACTCAAACTGGAAAATGAAAGTAAGTAAATTCCCTCAGAGCCACCTGTCTATAGATGGCAAATTATACTTACCCTTCCAGGAACCAAGGGTATTGTGGCTTCAGCCTTGGTTCTTTCGGCTTCATCATAACTGGGCAGCGTAGTAGCTACATTATAAGATGGGGGCTTTGGAAACCCAGACTCATCTTTATAATCAAAATATACTGCAAAAAAACAGAAGTCACAATTACTTGGTGAGTAGCTGAATGTGACAAACCCAGACACATCCCTAAAATTACACATAGAATAACTGAAGAAAAGACAGTTAAACTGTTAGATTTAGAAAATTTACTTATTTGTTTCAAACTTATTCACTTGATATTTAAAATCCAGCCTTTGTATCCTTGTTTCTCTTTTGAAACACTAATACTTTAAAAAATCCAGTGAGTTCTCAAAATACATTTAATTTTAATATTGGAATATGGGCATGGTGGCTCTTAGCTGTAATTCCAGATACTTGGGAAGTTGAGGCTAGAGGATGAGCTCAAATCTAGCAGCACAGTAAGATTTCATCTCAAACAATTTAAAAAAAAAAACTACTTCATATGTTTTTCATGTAAATCTGAACTGTAGTTTTCTTCTATTAATAAACGTGAAAATCAACTTTAAGAAGGGAAAAAGCCTTAAAATTAATTTCTTACAGATTTGTTTTGACATTTTAACTTACATTTTATTACCATGTATTTTTTCCTCTGATGTACTAAAGGTAACTGATTTAGTTACAGAACAATTATTTATCTCTAATCTTTCAGTTACTCTTTAATCACAGTATTTCCACTCCCATTGATCTGTATTATAATAAAAGATCTCACTTAACTTTTTGTTTCTACTGTTCTCAAACTGTTCTTTCTAAGTTGCTGGGATTACAGCTATGAGCCATTAACACTGGCAATAATTTCTGATCCATAAAAACTCATTTTCCTGAAATCACTTTTTTTTTTTGTCAGTCATAGGGCTTGAACTCTGGGCCTGGGCTCTGTCCCTCAGCTCTTCAGTTCAAGGTGAGCGCTCTACCACTTGAGCTACAGCACCACTTCCGGTTTTCGAGTGGTTTATTGGAGATAGGATTCTCAGGGTCTTTCCTGCCCAGGCTGGCTTTGAACCGAGATCCTCAGATCTCAGACTCCTGAGTAGCTAGGATTACAGGCATGAGCCACCGGTACCCCGCTGAAATCACTTATTTAGAATTCTAATGGCTCAATAGAAAATAGGAAGTAAACTTCTTTTTCTTTCTAGTTCCAAGGCCTTTGAATATTAAGATGAAATACTACAAATCCCAATGACTATATCCAAGAGACAATCCTTAGACCTGTATTCTAGCAACAGTTTGCTTTTACTCAGGCCACAGCAGAGAAAGCCAAGAAAAAGTGAAGGGGCAGCATGTTGGCAGAAACAGGACAAACCTTCTGGAGACAGTGGAATGGTGGATATGAAAACTGAGCTAGCACTACACATCTCAATGAATAAAGGCATCTTTGTAAATCTTTGAATGAGATATCTACCACAGACTACTGCTAGTTGTAATCCCTAAGTCATAAAGAAAAAAAAAGAGGATAAGATGTAAACGAATAAGGCAGAGTAAGTGAATAAGGCAGAGAAGTATTTGAAAACAAAATTCTGTTGCCATGGTTGAAAGTTTTACAACTATAGATGATGGGAACTCAAGATACTATTCAGGGAAAATATTGTATTACATGCTAATGGATCTAGCTAGCAAAGATTTAAAAAAAAAAATAACCTCTTTATCGGGGCTGGCAAGGTGGCTCATTGGTAGAGCGCTTGCCTTGCATGTATGAGGCCCTGGGTTTGATTCCTCAGTACCACATAAGCAGAAAAAGTTGGAAGTGACACTGTGGCTCAATTGGTAGAGCACTAGCCTTGAGCTGAAGAGCTGAGGGACAGTACCCAGGCCCAGAGTTCAGGTACCATGACTGGCAAAAACAAAAAACAAAAAACCTCTTTATCATTAATAAATTAGGAAATCATTTTTTTAAGTACTGGGATTTGAACTCAGGGCACTTAAGTTATCCCCTTAGCCAATTTAATTTTTGTTACTTTTCAAATAAGGTCTTATTTTTCAAATAAGATCACAAGCCATCCTCCTATTTACACTGCCCACATAGCTGGAATGACAGGTACATACTACCATGCTTGAAACTTTTAGCCCAGGCTGACCTTGACACACAATCACTCATGGCAGGTATAAGCCAACATGTCTGATAGAAAATCCAAATTCTTACTAATGAGTTGTAGTTTTCACTTAGTATATTCAATGGAAGGCCAGTATTTATGGTCTGGACAAAGAGAAAGTAAACTGTGATTTATTTTCCAAGTCTTAGTGTTCAAGTGTTTTGTTTCCTGTGCTAGAGATCAACCCCAGGGCCTTACTTGCTAGAAAACTTTTTGTTTTAGATTCTAGGAGATGACCTAGAATTTTTCCAAAATCTCATTTATATTAGCAGAGTTAGTTTCAGGTACTCCTAATAAAGCAATTATAACCAGCACAGGGAGACAGAAATATAAGGAGACAAATAGCAGAGTTCAGATAAACAGAGGCCAAATGGAGGTAAAACTGACCAGTCTTCCACTTAATTATAATGGCAGCCTCAGACAAAGACTATCAATAGGTTCTCTCTCTTATCAGTGGACACATGCTGTCTTGGAAAGGATCTGGAGGCTGTTAGGAATCTACAGCAACAAATAATTGCTTCAACTTCCCTGTTTATCCTGGAAGCAGGCTAAGTTCAGTAGTGGCATATAGCCACTCAGAGGGTATGGAAGAAGTTCTACGCAAACTGGTTAACTTTGAGGAAACTCTAGTGATTAAGAGTTACTCTGCTGACATTACTTTCTTCTTCCCCATCCCTTCTACACATATTCATGAAAACCCAAGATACAATCTGACAGAAAGTAAGAAGAAAAGACTGGCCAAGGAAGTTTAATCTATGAGGAACAGGATTAAAGTGTTGGGAGATTATCTTTTAGTTAAAAATTTATAAGCATCTCTTGGCACAGTGGTATATACCTATAGTTTCAGCTACTCAGAAAGTGAGGCAAGAGGACAAGTTTGAAGACAGTTGTGGCTATAGAGAGTTTCTGTCTCGAAATGAAAAATAAAAAGGGCTTAGCTCTGTGGTAGAACACTTTGCCTAGCATGTTTAAAAACTCTGGGTTCAATTTCTATTCACTTTTCCTACCACATTGCTGGTTATAGGTACCAGGGTCATAAATGGCAAAACATCAAAAAAAGAAACTATAAAAAGGAAAGATCAAGTCATCATCCAGTTCATGAATTTCAATTTCCTTACCACTGCGTAAGCTGGAATGAAACTGAGCTCTATAAAAAAATCACACAGAAGCCGGGTGCCCATGGTGGTCCTAGCTACTCAGGAGAGGCTGAGATCTGAGGACTATGGTGCAAAAGCAATCTGAGCTACCTTTTATCTGTTTTCCAAATCAAAAGAGCAACAGGTAAAAATATGATCAAAGACAATTTATGGAAGCTGATGTGAAGGCAAATACCAATAAACATGTGCAAGCCCATCAGTGCTAGCTAAAGAGTTCAGTGATCACCTGTCCTGCTTACCTGCACTCTCTGAAGAGATGCTGCTGTAAGGTGGAGGAGCATCACCTGCAGCCTGTTCAGGTTCTCCAGGTTCTTCTTCATTCTGCAACTAAACAAAAATTTCCAATATTAACGCATGTAAAAAAGGCAATTAGAAAGATACAAATGTGAAAACTAGAACAGCCTTTATAGAAAGTTTTTTGGCAGTGTGTTTTGGAAGTCTTCAGTTGCATAAATTCTGTTAAAAAAAACCCTATTCCCAAGAAGTTATTCTATGGAAATAACCAGACAAAAAGAAAAAAATAGATACAAATGGTAGTGAAAGCTGGATGTTGTGGCACACAGCTGTAATCCCAAGCAGTTGGGAGGCTGTGGATCTAGAATTAAAGGCCAGTCTGGACTACATAAAATGTAATTTGGCTTAAAAAAATAAATAATTCATAAATAAGTAAACAAAAAAATGAAAAAAATACATATATTCTAAGGTGAAACAGCAAATTTTATAATCAGCATGTATTGTATACTTTCCATTTTAACAAGACATAAAACGGAAAGATGATCTAGAATGATAGATATCTACCATTCAACACTGTTCTCTAGACAATGGAGGAGGTATAAGGGAATGTTTATATTCATATGTGTATTCTAATTTTCATTTCTGTAAGGAATATTTATCATTTATAAATAATCTGTTAGGACAAAGTGAAATTATTGGTAAATCAACACTTATATACAGAATTCTGTGCACACACAAAAACTAAATCAGAAATCATTAACTTTTACAAGCCTAAGGTTTGAACCTGTCAATACACCTTCCTCTTCCTTAGCCCAGCAACTTTCTCAGTGACACATCTTTAATTATTTCATGCTGCTTCCTTTTTTTGGGCCTTGGAAATGCTAGCAGAGTCTTCTGGCACAAGTTCCAAGCCCCTTTAATTTAAACAGCTGATTCTGAAAAGTTATGTATGCCTGCTATTGATGTTATGGGCAGTCAAGTCAAGTCACTGCCATGAAACAAAGACATATTTCATTTTTCCAGTGTGACAATGGACCCTGGACCCTATTGGTTTAAAAGTTGAAGTGGTGGTGAATGGGAGTCTGTAATCTTTAAAGAATACTTACTGATGTAACCAATTTAAGGATCTGATCCCAAACTCAGTATTATCATAATTATTCAGAGGAACTTGTAAAATACACACCATCTTGAAACCATGGGGTGGCAAAGATCCTATCATGAACAGGACAACAGAGGGCCTGATGGGTCATAATAGAAACTAGAGCTCCCTAATCCATTAAATTTCAACTGACCATCTGAATTTCCAAATCCCTTGGCTATTCAAAACCAGATGCCCACAAATGTTTTCTGGTTAATATTGCAAACCTTCAACTTCAAGTGAATTCTTGTACCATACTCTCATCAGCAACCCACCAGGCGAGGGCACATATTCTGAATGTAGCAATCTAATCTTAAATTACTCCTAAAACAACTGAATTGTAACCTAAGGCAGTTTGTTCTGTAAATGAAAGCATATGGGATAAACAGCTACATGAAATTCAAATGTTCCTGGGACACCTTAAAAAGGACATTCTTAGATTCTTCACAACAGTCAAGGGAAGATGGGGGGGTTGCAGGATGAGGGGCGAGGGGGAGATGAAAAGTTGGCAGCAAGAAAGAAGCAAAAGTGAATTTTTAAACCTAGCTTGACATTTTTAACCTCCTTCATATTTCCAGAGTTTGATCAAAGCCTCTATATAACACAGGTTTCAGAAAGGAAGCTTTGCAATTCTAAGAAATACAGACGTTCAAAGAATAAAGAGGTAAAGAGGTATTCTATGCCAGTATCTTAAGACAGGCTGCTTGTCTCCTAGCAACCTGGAAATTCAAATTTGATCAGTTCAGATCAAATTCTGTTACCACAGTAACAGATAACAGAGAAAAGAAATTCCAACCTTCTCAGAAACCCCGGTTTGCTGTTTGATGAGGGAAAAAGTAACATTACCGGAAAAAGAATTCACTTTAAAATCATTTAAGTATATTCTGACTGCCCACAAAAAGAAAAAGAAAAAAAATAAAGGAAAACCAAATGAAATTTTTTAAAGCATCTATCTTAACCAGGGAGTCTCCACATACAACAATGATCCCAAGACCACGAAATATACTTTCTGCTCTGCCTTATTTTTACAACACTAGAATAAGGCAGCTTTCTCCATTAAGCCTACTTTTGTAAATTCTAAGTCATTCTTTATGTATCTAATAATCATTTCAGATTCAGGGCCTAAAAAAAAAAAAATTGAGGGGCTGGGAAGGTGGCTCAGTGGTAGAGTGCTTGCCTTGCATGCATGAAGCCCTGGGTTTGATTCCTCAGCACCACGTAAGCAGAGGAAGCCGGAAGTGACGCTGTGGCTCAAATGATTTAGCGCTAGCCTTGAATTGAAGAGCTGAGAGACAGCACCCAGGCCCAGAGTTCAGGCCCCCACGACTGGCAAAAAAAAATTGAATCAGTACTTAAATTCTAGCTTTAAATGTTATTTACTGCTTTTAAATCTAAAGTCAACTTTTAAAACTTTTTCCTTAAAATGCAATTTTTAAATCTCTCATTACTAGCCCACTACTTTTACATATACTAAATCCTACCAGATGAGACAATATAATTACCAGGCAGTAAACAAGCACATTTCTTTAGGGAAACAACTGAGTATTCCTCTGCCACTGACAAACAGAAAGAAAGTTTGTGAAGACTGCAATTTTTTTTTTACTGTAACTAATCCAATTAAAGCCGGGTACCAGTGATTCACACCTGTAATCCTAGCTACTAAGGAGGCTGAGATCTGAGGATCACGGTTCAAAGCCAGACCACCAGAAAGTCCGTGAGACTCTTATCTCTAATAAACCACCAGAAGATTTGTATGTGGTGCTGTGGCTCAAGTGGTAGAGCACTAGCCTTGAGCTGAAGAGCTCAGGGACAGTGCCCAGGCCCAGAGTTCAAGCCCCACAACTGACCCAAAAAAAATCCAATTCACATTCAAGAATAATATCCTACTCAATTGTTATAAATTAGCATTGCTATTTTACATAGTTCTGATAAAATGAAGAGAGAACTGATAGTAAAAGACTGATACATTTAAAAAATGGACTAAGAGGGACTGGAAAGGTGGCTCAGGGGTAGAGTGCTTGCTTCGCATGCACGAGGCCCTGAGTTCGATTCCTTAGCACCACATAAGCAGAAAAAGCCAGAAGTGGAGCTATGGCTCAAGTGATAGAGTGCTAGCCTTGAGCTGAAGAGCTGAGGGACAGTGCCCAGGCCGAATTCAGTCCCCATGACCGACAAAAAAAAAAGGGCTAAGAAACTTAGGGAATTGCAACCTCTCTGTACCACTACTTAGTAATAAAATGCGTAAAAGACTTGAATGGACATTTCTCCAAAAACGATACATAAATGCACAGTAGAAAATGCTCAAAACCATTAAATCATCAGGGCTCAAAATCATGAGGGAAAACCATGAGATATTACTTCACACCTACTAAATGGCTAAAATAAAAAGGACAAATAGTAACAAGTGCTGCTATATACATGGTGAGGATAAGAAAACTAACAGGCTGTTGGTTGGAATGTAAACAGTACAGCTACTATAGAAAAACTTGGAGGTTCTCAAACTGTCTAAGCATTTCTACTTTCAGATTACCAAGAAAAGCTGAAAAACATACTGACATAAAAATCTGTACATGAATGCTCACAGCAGCATTATTCATAAAAACCAAAATATTCCCCAGTTTACAAACTCCATGTGGTATATCCATACAGTGAAGTATTATTTAATTAGAAAAGAATAAATTAATACATGCTACAAAACAGATGAACTTTGAAAACATTATACTAAGTTAAAGAGGCCTAAGGGGCACGGTTCAATTGGTAAAGTGCCTACCTAGCAAATGTGGTCCCGAGTTTAAACTTCAACCAAAAATAAACAGAAAGTCTATTGCTGAAGTGGTACAGTGGTCTGCCTAGCAAGCATGAAACTGAATTCAAACTCTGGTATGACAAGAAAAGAGGAGATAAAGAAGTCATTAATAAAACACCAAATATTTTATGTTTTCATTTATTTAAAAAAAATTGCCAGGGGTTAAAGACATGGCTCACTTGGCTGACTGATAGCCAGTGAGCAAAAGTGGCAGGTAAGAGTTTGAGTTCTGGTCTTGGACCTAAGAAAAAAAGGGGGAAAAAATGGCAAAAAAAAGTCAAATACCTCCTTCAAGGGGCTATGGAAGAGTGTGAAAGAGAGTAGCTGAAGTCTGCTAAAAGTTACTTCTTTGGGGGATGATTAAAAAAAAAATGTTTTGAAGCCGGGCTAACATCTGTAATCCTAGCTACTAAGGAGGCTGAGATCTGAGGATTGCAGTTCAATGCCAGCCCGGGCAGGAAAGTCCCTGAGACTCTTTTCTCATTTAACCACCAGAAAACCAGAAGTGGCACTGTGGCTCAAGTGGTAGAGTGCTAGAGAGCTCAGGGACAGCGCCCAGGCCCACAGTTCAAGCCCCACAACAGACAAAAAAAAAAGTTTTGAAATTAGACAGTGGTAATTTCTACATTTTGTAGAAACAATAAAAATTAATGTACATTTTTAAAGTAAACATCATATGAATTTTATCTTAAAAGAATAGCTTTCTATTTTTGTTTTCCAAGTTTGTATTATATAAACTTTATTTACAACGAAAATGCTACATTAATCTCTAAACTACTATAATCTTGCTAATCCCAATATCAATGCCCCTCAATGCAAAGGACTGGGTTCTCATCCCATAGATATTCCTAGAGCTTACCACAGCAAGATGAAAGAGATGGAAATGACCAAGAAACACACTGAGCTGCAAACTAATCAGGTAAACAAGGATTTCGTTCATTTTGCCCTTTCCTAAAGGGAAAAATAGCATCAAAAGGTAGTTTGGCTAATATCTTATTCTAAGAGTTATCCCCAATATTCTTCCCTGCCCCCACCAAAGGAGTCAAAAGTAAACATCCTTATAAATCACATCATTTTTTTTTCTACCTCAGGAGCTACACTAAAGATGAGCATAGTGGAATATACCTATAATTCCAGCTACTCAGAAGG